TCATCTTTGTAGAAAACTTTTGTACACAGGGGTTTTCAGTTATTTTCTTTATGGAAAAACTACTCTTGGTAAGTGGATTTCAATGCGTCGTTTGAGAAAGTCCTGGACAGCAAAGCCACTTGGTCATTCAAAAAAGCATTCTATGCAATATCAAGGTTGCCATTTGTGTTTTGTTCTTATTTGTTTAATTTTCTTTTGCATTTAAAAAGTTTTTTGAGTTTCTAATGCAGAGGTTTTTAAAGTTTATAGATTATGTCAAAGAAGGCAATGCCGACGGATTCTTTTTTAATAACAGGATCTTCAACTTATAAATTTGGTTAGTTGATTGTCTACGATGTTTTCTGTTTTAATAATTGATAGTTTTCAGACGTTGTGGTTCAGATAATTCCTCAGGGGTATGATAACTGTGGCTTTATTGTTTGGAATTCGAAATCTGAAAAAAATGAATGTGTAGTTATAGACGTGTACGACTCTAAAGCATTTGTTGTTGAGCTGAAGACTTTAAGTAAAGTCCCTGTAGCTGTGTTAAGCACTCATTGGCACTGGTCAGTTGTAAAGTTGTTAAAATGTAGCAGGTTTTTAATCAAATTTTCTTTCGTTTTTTTTGTCTTTATTATTAAGCTTCAAACTGTCGAGGTGGTTAATAATGTCATTTTGAGAAGTTGAAATATCTTTTAGTAATTGTTACAATTTATTTGAGCCATTTTAGAAGTTATGTTTCTCCTTCTTTATTTCTCTCCTTCCAATTTTTTTTGAAAATTTATAGTTTCTTTTAACTACACCAAGAATATTTTAGCTGTCAGCCACCTTTATTATTAAATGAATTTCTTATTTAAAGTTCGAAAACATTTCATTACGTAGGCTTTTGAAAATACTATATTTGCTTCAGGGATCACTGCGGTGGTAATCATGGGTTGATAACTGAGTACCCGAACTTAGCAGTTTATGCTGGGAAACGCGAACCTGTATCGTGTGCTACAATGTGAGCGTAGTTTGATTGCATCACTTTATGTCTTTCTTATAAAGCATCTTTTTTATTTAAAACGGTAACAGAAGTAATTGCATTTCATGAGTGGAGTTTTCTGGATGGGTAGTTTGACTTTTTGTCAAGCTGTTGTGTAGAATTTCTTACTCATTTTTTTATTTTAAATATTTCGCTTTAATTTTTGCTCTTTCTATCTTTTTAGACGGGTTGATCATGGAGATGACATTGAAGTAGCAGATTTAAACTTTTCTGTTGAATTTGTTCCGGGACATACTGGTGGTCAAGTGGTATATCGTTTACATGTACCTCCTGGCGATTCAGACTGCTTGTTTACTGGTGATTTCTTATTCGTAGGCGGAACAGGTGCTTAGATTTTCCAACGCTTTTCTGCTGTTGTACATATACTAAATATGTGGTGCTTTTTCAAATGAATATGAAAATTTGAACTTTAAATTTTTATTTTAGTTAAGATAGTCATTCCCATAAAATATTTCTTTGAAACTGTTAAATTTTCAGGGAGGCTATTTGAAGGTAGCGATGCGCGTCTTCTGTCTTCTCTAATGGCAGTGAGAAGTTGGCATCCTGACTGTCTTATTTTTCCAGGACATGATTTTGCAAAGGAAAATTTGGAATTCGCATTAACTGTTGAGCCAGATAACGTAGAGCTCACTGGTAAATATGTAGATGTTTGCGATCGTCGTTTAGCTCGTCTACCTGCTGTAAGTTCTATAAGAAAAATTAACTTTTCTTTTCGATTATGGGACTGGATATTGTTTATTGGTTTACTGGTTTATTGTGTTAAACTTCATTTTTTTTTTTTGGG